ACTATTACTTTGTTATTACATGCATGTTTGAGCTTACCATTTATAACCTGTCTTGGAAGAGCTTCTTTGTGAATGCAAAGACAAGTGAGACCCACATGAATGAGGATATGGATACCCCTTTCAAAAGGCTCTTGAAGAAGCCTCTGTTCTTACCTCTAGGCAAATTACTGATCCTTGATGCTCTTTGAACACTTTCAACTGCTCACCAGTGACAATATTCCACGTTCGAATGGTATAATCCGTGCTGCCAGAAAACAGCTCCCTGTTTGGTGCGTCAAGTATAAGGCATAAGACAGCCCCAGTGTGTCCCAGTAGAGTCTGGTAACAGCGCCCACTGGACACCCACCAGACCTTAACAGTGCAGTCTGTGCTACCTGTCACCAGGAGGTCTCTGCTCACTTTCTCCTCCTCCTCCTCTTCCTCCTCCTCTTCTTCAAGAACATCCCTGGAGGAATAGTGAGCTAGAGTCAGGACACAGTTCCGATGGCCCCGGAATTCCTGGATTTGTTTCTCCTTGTCCACACTCCAACAGCGAGCTGTCCTGTCATAGGAGCCACTAAAGAGATAGTCCTTGGCAACCAGGATCCTGCAAAAAATAAAGTCTGCTTGTATGAACAGTATAATTCTTTTTGCATAACCATTTTTGGTCACAACTGCAGCGCCAAGCACCCTGGAGTTAGATACAGTAGCACGAACACAACACATACAACTCCAATTCAGCATCACTGTTTAATACACAATTTATGAACTTCTTTGTTGTTTTGTTTTTTTTTTTTAAAAAAAAACAAACTAATTCTTTATAATTATTTATTAGTATTCTTTATAAATAATTATTTATAAACTGACTTATGAAAAGAGCTTGGAATTAAAATAACAACAACAAAAACAATTCCAGGAACCTGGCCTGTAACTGACAGTGTGCAATGATAATCATCTTCCCATCATCGAATGAAGAGAGTACAGGAAAAAAGAGACACCTAATTTCACTTAGCCCAGGATCTCAAAAAAAGTAGAGCAAGGAAGGGCACCCCACTTATTACATAACTGAAGAGCAAATCAGAGATTACAGCTCAACAATTCAACTTACTGAGCCTGCAAAATAATGAGTTGTAGCTGCACAAACATGTAACAACATAAAAATCTCTACAGTTTGTGTTTCCAAACCAGAGACAGGAAACATCACAACCTGTCTTCTTTGTCAGCTGAGTTTGGTCCTCTGGAACCTTTCAAACTGGCAACAAAGTCATATGAATAGGGAACACATTTCCCATTTGCTGATTCAAGCAAAAATCGGGCCAGTGCCAAAATACAGACAGAGCCAGCCTTCCTAACTATTTACAGAATCTAGCTGCACATCGTATGTCTTATGTGTTTTGAGTTTAGTAAGGAACAAAAAAACCCACCCACCCACCAAAAAAGAAATTAAAAAAAAACCCCAATCTTTGCTCTATTTGTCATTAATTAAATCCAGTCCAACTATTAAGAGGCACTTTAAATTGACAGGCCAATCAGTCACACGCAATCAGTTTGATATTAAACTTCATTTGCACAAACAAGAATAGGAATTCCAGAAGAAGTCTTGACTTTAACCCTCTTACTCACACAAAGGCTTGACGTGATGTTTTTAAATCTATTTATCAGAAGCATCTGTTATCAATTGAATAATTTCTTCTGGAATTTTTTTCCTAGCCCTGGATTCAATTCCCCTGCTGTGTGCCTTTCGTTTCTCTCCTATCTGCTGTCTATGGATGTGTCAGCACTGTTGCTAGGAAAACTAATAATTACAGCACAGAACACGTGTAGCATGAACTCAAAGGTTTACACAACCCATTTTATTAGTGTAGTAATGGAGAATTGCAGTAAAATGACAACAGAAGAGATAATAGATTACAGGAACACAAGGGAAGAACTCCACGGAACCAACCTGTTAACAATTGATGTATGTCCTCGGTAAATGGCCAGGCACTGACCTGTCATCACATCCCACTTTCGAATGGTATGATCTGCGCTGCACGTGAAGGCAGCCTCATTTTCTAAGTGGCAAAAGGTGATGTAACTTTCATGTCCTGGGAATAACAAAGGCAATTAATTCAGTCGCTGTGCATGCAAGCAGGACAGACTACTCCAGCTCTTCACCTTCACTAAAAGACAAATACAACAAACAAACGGACTGAAACTCGAGTTTCAAATGCACCACCATGTCCTTCACATTTCAGGATTTGTATAAAACACAACATTTTCAATTAACAGCAGAAAACTCTGCTTCATTGATATGAGGATTAAGTGCAAAACATTCCAGTTCCACCCATCAGTTAGATTGAACGGTATTATAAAAACATAATGAGCTAAATTCATATTAGTATAATTAAACTCAGATTAGTGAAGTTTAAAACCAGTAAAAAAATGGCTTATCTTTTAATAAATAAATGCTTTTGCTACCTTCTTCTGAAGTCAGGAAAAAAAAAGGGTGCATTTTGACCCAGCCCATTGATTGTCAGGACACAAACAGCTCTAAATTAAACCATGAAACCATGAAAAAAGGAAGCGACGTGAGACTTAGCAGCAAGTTTAGTTTAACAATCCAAGCAGAACGAATCGCAAACAAAAAAAACATATCTGGTAAGAAGTCAGCCAATACTTTCCCTGTTGTGATTAATAACATCAATAAAACCCACAGTTTTCAAAATATCAGTATACCTTTAAGGAAATGAGACAGAAATAAATGAGAGCACAATTATTTATACAGCATTCAGAGTATGTTTGGATGCTACAGTTACAAGAAAAATAGACACAACCACTACTCTGAAAATTTCATGCTGAAAAGCAGGGTAATGCTAGCGACGAGGAATCAATATCATAACCTTAAGCTTTTGTTGTTGCTTAGCAAGATGTGTCATTTCTCTGTTATATCATTAAATGCACTGCTTTTAAAAATCACCTTAGGATTTGAGTCCCAGCTTTGTCCCAGATCTCTTGTGTGAGATTGCTGTCCCCTATCTAATCATTTGGATAGTATTATCTTGCACTCTTCTGTTTTAATTATTTAGACGATCAGCCTTGGAGATCAGAAGTGTTTTCTCTTAAGTAACTATCACAAGAGAGCCCCAAACTTTGCTTGAAGCTGGTGGGCCCTACTGTGATTTAAATAACACTATTCTTTGAGGAGAAAAGAAAAAAAATTAAGAAGGACAAATGTGATTAAAGAGAAACAAATGGAGAGACAAAGATATTAGAAAAACAGAATCATGTTGTAGAATAAAGAGATGGTAAAAAAACTGAGGGAAAGCAGATTGCCCAGTAAAACACTTTTCTCACTGACTGTAAAAAACAGATTTTACTACAACTCCTGTAGTTCAAAAGCCTTGTTGTAGCTCAAAAGCAAACCAGAATCCACGTTACAAACACACATCTTGTTTCCTCTTGAGCAAATTCACCATATGCCAAAAATTAAACAGATCACCAGGGCTATAAGCAAAAACTATACCCCTCCTCACAATTTTGTGAAAACTTTTTGCAAAGCAGCTTAAATTGGGACAAGTTTCAACCACTGGGATTTTTCTCACAGCATCATGTAATCCTGCTCTGAGAAGATCAGAAAAGCATCTTGGTTACTGCACCAAAGTCTGTCAGTCAGATTTTAACCATCAATAACACTCGAGCCACACAGAGGATGCCAAAACCTCCTGTGGCAGACAAGGTCTGGTGCTGGTCTGGTCAAAAGCAGCCACCACAGAGGTCCGTTGGTTGTGCTGTGGTGGAAGCTTGAAACTGTGTTTTAGATACAGGTTTATCAGTAATCACAGCTTGTACCATACAAATTTACACGACTGTGTGCACACATAAATATAAAATACATACAATTATCTGATTCGACTGACAGTTTGCAAACCATCTAGCCAACCTTCTTTAGAGTTTACCCCAAACACCAGCAGCACGTAGGCCAGAATCTGAATATTCTCCAGATTATTACATTTCTCTTTCTAGTTAAAAGTTAATTAGTGGTTTAAAGGAATTTCTAAGCCTAAAGCAAACGCAGTGAGTTTCCCAGGAGCTAGAACCATGGCAGGATGTGGGGAAAAAAGACAATACTCCATAGTTAAAACCAAGCAAGCAAATAAACAAACAACAACAACAACAAAAATCACAGCAATGTGATTTCTTCTTTGGAAGAAAAAAGGATTAGAAATTCCAAATTTAAGAGCTTTTTTTTTTCCCCTCTGTCTTGAGAGAAAAGAACACGAGTGATTGAGAATACAAACATCTTTAGTTCACATCTGCCTCCTGCATAACTGTACTTTCTATGGAATTTTTCTTTTCAATTATTGAAAGGCTAGTCTAAGGATAATAAATTTTGTTTAAAATGTAAAATCAATTTAAAATTAAATACCCCAGCAATTAACATTTCTGCGTGTCAAATGTGGGGAAAAAAATAGCCTATTTAGTAAGGTTTCTTTCCAGGCTTCTGGGTCAAGAGGTTCTAAATAAACATTGTCTGGAAAATGACATGATTAAAAGGACAGAAAAAAAAAGAAAAGAGAGAGACACACGATAATTAAGTCAGTGTTTCATCAGGGTGTAAAACAGAGAGCTTCCAGAAAAAGACATAAGTTAAAGGACTGCTGTGTTCCACACTCTGAGATAAAAGGATCCATGCATTTAGTAGCACTGGTAACCTGTTTTGGGTTGAAACAGCTTTTGCTTAATATTACTGTAACAAATACTTAAGAAACCACAAAACAAAGCAAATATGATTTTATCTGCTCAGTAGGCTGCAGGGACTGAAAGAGACCAGAACACGACGTGTGGCCTGTGCCACGCTTTAGACTCAGAAACCAGGCAAACAAAAGCGATTGTACCTTGGAAGTGTCCATGGCACTGGCTGTCGGCGGTGCTCCAGAGCCGCGCAGTGCCATCCTCGCTACCCGTGAGCAAGCGCTGGCCGTCCGGGCTCAGGCTCAGCCAGTTGATGCCTCCTTGGTGATCCGTGCAGACCTTCACGGCTGAGCCACTGTTGCCCATCCTGATGGTCCCAGCGAAGGCAGAAGCTGCAGGTCAGATCATAGGCGCTGTGCAATCCTCAGACCATGCTCTGGGCCTCCAGCCGTCTCCCATCGACCAACTTCAGCCATTACCTCAACTCCGAAAAATCAGCAGGGTAGTCCAGACTTCTGCACAGGGACACAAGGGAGGAAGAGAAGGGCACGTTAACTCATTTCACCTCCCTCACGGACACATCGCTTTCTCAGCCAGAGTGACCTGAAGCCCTGGAGCGCC